CCAAAGAGTGTAAAAAAAAAAAAAAAAAAAAAAAAATCTACCTGGAAACCGTCTGAGCCAGGGTGCCTTTCCCCTGCTACTTCATACTGCTGTATTGTTTCCGATGTGTCAGGACATTTGAGGGCTACTTTTGAATGCCGCCCATCCCCTCTTGATAAAATCAAAGGATAAAAAATTAAAATGACGAGGAATGGATGGAGGTTCCAGACGATGACAGAAACACAGCTGCTGAGCTGGGAGGGGCCGCTGGCAACATTTTGTCCCCCTTTCACTCCTCCCCGCACAAGCGGATCACTCTGGAACAGGAACGCATCACTTGTTGCTCATTTGTTGAGCTGTCACATTTTAATCCCCCTGCCGGGCCCTGTTTTTTTGGGGGGGGGTGGGGGGGTGGGGGGACTGAGTTTACAGGGCCACCCACCAGCCCCAACAACCCCTCCAGTGTCAGCAAAAATCTACTCGGCAACCGCCTGCCTCAGTGTGCCTTCCCACTGCTATTTAAAACAAAGTGACATCTGCTATTTAAAATATTTATTTTTTATTTCATTTTGATTTTTGGAGAGTAGTAGTGTCAGTACTGTATTAATAATATTATTACTGTGTACTCATCTCAAGGCATATAAAATATATATAAGTTATTGAATTAGATTTAGTTTCAATATAATTATTATTATTATTATTATACATTAACATACTCAACCCAAAAAAAGAGATTTAGTAGCTATTTTAAAATACAATGCACTGTACTTTTATTTTTTAGCTTAATATCGGTTAGCTTTTTTTTAATCGAGAAACTTTATTTAAATGCATGCAGCGAACAAAACAACAACAAAAAAAGCAAAAATGCTGCTTTATCCACTAGAATGTAAAGTCATTGTAGCTGTGCTTTATTATTTTATTTTTATTTTTGGTTCAAATTCATCCGACAATGTTGGGAATTTTTATACTTGAACTATTTCTTACAAGGGACACGAGAGAAAAAAAAATAAACGTTTTGAGGAAGCTTTTCATTGTCACTGGATGAAAGTATGTAAAGTGTTAATAAATATGACAAAAACATTTACTCAGCAATTGGAATAAAATGTTCTATATTTCAAACATTTTTTTGGATGTTCTTTTCTTCTTTTCCCACGTGTCTCATTTATGGCGCCATTTTGAAGACAACCAGGCCGCCATTTTGGAGAAGGACTTAAGGGCGACATTGTCAGGTTAGCGTCATTATCCCCCTTACACATGGCAACGCGCTGATGAGGACACAGCAAAATAACCATCAATGATGCAGCGCTAATCAATAAGTCATGCGTTTCACTGTTCAGGGAGAACAAGATGGGAGTGTTTATTTCGTGTGCGGTCACGCATTGGCGAGGCCTTCAGGGTGACATCATCCAAGAAGAGAGTATCGTTCCATCTATTTATTGAATGATATATCTTGATACTGAATCCACCTATAAATGTTGCTAGCTAGCTAGCTAATAATATGTTTGTTTTCTCGCCCCCTTAGGTAGTTTACTAACTTTAGTGTGCGTGTGCGTGTGCGTGTGCGTGTGTGTGCGTGTGCGTGTGCGTGTGCGTGTGTGTGTGTGTGTGTCAATTTTCTGGGATACCTATCATGCTATATACGGATATTGACTTCTGGAGATGAAAAAGGCTAGTTAGCCATGAGTCAACCTAGTTATCTTATGTACACATAGCTAACTGGCTATCTATCCTCTGTCCATCCAACTACAAACCTATTGAGCTAACTATCTCTTTCTAGTGAACTTTCTGCAGTAGCTATATATGATTCTTAACTATCAAGCTAGCTATAGAAGTAGCAAATTGAATATAGAGACCGATAGAGGGACAGTGCTAATTATCTACACACACACTATTTTTTTAACCGACCTATATAGAATTCACAGTATCCCCCCCATCCCCCACTTATTTTTAAAAATTATTATTATTTTTATCCAATTCCCTGCTTCGTCATTTTTTTCTAATGAGAAAACGTTTATTCATTGTTTCATAATGCTATTGGTACGTAGCTGTCATCTATCTACATTACCCTTTCTTCCCCCCAGTGTTTTTAACGTGTTGAATGATAGTAAAATAGATTACTATGTGCTGTTACTTGAAAATATGGTATCTTTATTAGTTTTTATAGGGCAAGCTTGGTAGCTAGTTAACTTGAGATCAATGCATGATTTTAAATATCTGATCTGTTTGTCTTTTTACAGTTTTCATGTGTTGAATTTTCCCGATAAAGTGTGTTGCCGAGTATGTCATGTTGTTTCTACCCCCTGTTTGTAAGTTCAAGCTAAAGAATTCTGCTTTTCAACTTGAGTCATTTGAAATACACACATGGGACATAACATTAGGTACCTTCGATTTACATGAAAAGCCATATTTATTGAACAATGCAACATAATGATAAGAATAGTTATTGATCAGCGTCTGTTCACAGTCAGTTGTGTGGCTCTATTGCTGTTGGTTATTTTTAGCATGCACATGTGTGCGCGCGTGCGTGCGCGCGTGCTGCGTGCGTGCGTGCGTGCGTGTGTGTGTGTGTGTGTGTGTGTGTTTTCTGAAAAATTCTGCTCAGCTGAACTTGGACATCCCAGACGGACGGGAAGGCAGGCAAGCAGGCAGGCAGCTCTCTCGGTCTGGACAAGAACAAGAACAGCACAGGAGGAGGTACAGTACATGTTCCCGAAAAAAAACATTGCATTGGAGTGTGTGCTAAGTTTTGTGTGTGGGCGTGCACTTTGGAAAGAGAAGGACCGACGTTTTCTCCCCCCCAATTATCATGACCTCCTTTTCCCTCAGTGCTGTAGCTCCATTTTGAGTCGATGGAATGGATTAAAAAAATGTATATATATATATATATATATATATAAAAAACCGCTTATTACTTGAATTTCTTTTTCTATTTGTAAATGAATTTCTTTGTTATTTCAATTACTTTAGCAATCTAATTGTTGTTTCTAAATTTTTGCAGCTGGTAATGTAAGATTGTTGGTTTTCAATTTTAGTCTATCATCTCTTTTGTGTTTATTTTTTGCTTGCCTCATTTCGTCACTTGTTCTGTGTATTTACTACTCACTGGCTTATTATTTTGTCACCTTCATTTTAATTTATTTTCTAATATTTCACTGTCATTTATTTTGATAAATGACTTCCAGTTACCTCTGTTGTTTATTTGATTCTGCATAATTCTTTGGGTTCAATTTATGTTCTAACATCTTCTATCAACAACTGAGGTCCTAATTGCATAGTAATGCTCACTCACCGCATCATTGAGCAGGTGTACCTAATATTGCGGCCCTAATATTGAATGAACTCAATACAACGTGAGACAAGCGTCCATGCCTTTTTGAATTAGCAGCGAGCTAGCAGCGAGCTAAACATCCAACAAGCTGAATTTAGCCTCACACAAGATCAGATAGCAAAGCGGCACGTGCTCTTCCTCAGCTGTTCGCTCGGTGTCGCCGGCGACGCACCTGTCTGCTTCGCGCCTCCTGGTTGCTGTGGAAACAGCAAGCCGACTTGCGTGGAACCCTTTAAGCCAGGGGTCCCCAACCTTTTTTGCCCCACGGACCGGTTTAAGTCAGACAATATTTTCAGGGACCGCCATTTAAGGTGCGGCGGATTAATACAACAAAATAATATGATATGAGCTGCATGAAAACTGTGGTGTTTTCGAAATATAATAATAAACACAAGGAGCGTCTAATCTGGTCGCAACACTCTTATCGCTATGGTAAAGTTTAATGCCTTCAAAATACGATACAACGCAAATTCAAAGTGCATGAAAATGATGACTCACCACAGCCCCGAGCTTGATTTTCTGCAACCAGACGGTCCCATCTCGGGGTAATAGGAGACAATGACACCTCAAGTGTGTGGTTTATGTCCAGTCTACTTCGTAATTTTGTTTTAGTCACCGTTGCTGCAGAAACTCCCCACCTCACACAGGTAGGATGTCGGAAATAGCAACAGTGCTATTGTGGCGATCTCAGCGTATTCAGCCAGAACTTTAATCCAGTTGTCTCGAACGTACTTTTAAGGCCGCCGTCATTTGCGATCTCCAAGCAGCTTTTTCACTCATTTTGCGGGCTTCAGCGTTTTGTTTTTGAGCGTCATCGGTCACGTGACCGAGAAGTGTGGCTTGACGTGAGTCAAGCGTGACACAGACGGATGTAATGGAGAATCCGGTAATTTTTCAAAATAAAACATCTTTCGTATTCCGAAACACATAAAACGGAAATAAGGCAAGTTCTTTCTGTGCGGCCCGGTACCAAATGCCCTGCGGACCGGTACCGGTCCGCGGACCGGCGGTTGGGGACCCCTGCTTTAAGCAACAACACTTGTTGTTGTTTGTGTTGTTGTCGAAGACAGCGTGTGGCCCCCTCAGGGGAGGCCTCAGTGACTTGATGATGAGTCCTTTCTCCGCCCGGCATTGCTACCGCATGACCGCACACTTTTATTCCTGATGTGAATGTGAACGTTCACGTTGAGTCATAGCAAGCAGATTAGCATGAGCCTGTCAGCTCACAGTTGCTTGGTGAAGTTGTTGTTGTGGTGGATAAATGCCCTCGATGGTGCCCGCAAGCATTTGTCAATCAAAGATTATTTTTGTGATTTGACTTGTTGCCAGCTTTCGAAAATGGACGTCAATCAGATGTTGCAAATTGTTATTTAGAAATATTTAAAAACTGTTAGGATGTTGTTGTTATTGTTGTTGTTGTTGTTTTGCATTGTACCATTTTTTCAAATGTTGTGCTCATTTCGCGGCTTTATCTTTTGTCCGAAAATCCTACAAAATTCCTCCCAGGAACAAACAGTCCTACTTCCAAGTGCCTCCTATCTTGACGAGCATGTTCTTGCACTTCCTGTATGACGCCGCCGCTTTTTGCCTGCAGGTGGTCATGGAGGCTTTGACGGAGCGTCTGGAGCGAGCCGTGACGCGACTGGAGCAGCTGGCGACGTCCACAAGTTTGTCGAACGGCGACTGCGTCAAC